TCTCTATGCTCGGGGATTGAGCAGGGGAGGCATCTGCTCATCTCCAGAGCTCCGCTGCTCTGTTGCCTGGCCTTCCCATCACCTCCCCACTTCCTTGCTCAGCCTGCACCCTCTCTTCCTCCCTGCCTACTCTTCCAAGGTTCGAGGGATCCGGGACTGCCTCATCCTCATCCCCAGGTCATTCCTCATGGACCATAGAGATTGCACCATCCCCCTCTATTGGCCCAGGCTCCCATTCCTCCTCCGCCTTGGACCCGGGATTCGATGGGGCTATGACGGATACAAAGGGACGTCATGTGTATTTTCCTTGCCAGATAAGGCACCTTGCATGCAGATCGCTTCCCAAATAAACAATCATAACTCTGCCCCCAAAGTATTGCTATGGACTTATTCTTTGTGTTCCCTTCCTGCCAACTTTTCTTGTTCTGTACAAGTAAATCTGGTTGCTCTATGTTAGCATTTTGTCTTAGTTTACTAATTAATGATTGGTTTCCCTTCCTCTTAGGATATCCACTTTGTTGGCCTATAAGATCCCAATGGAAGATGCCCTACCTCTCTCTAGAGCCTTTGCCATGCTGGAAGAAGGTAGGTTGGAATAAATTTTGCAGTGATTTGTAGGGACCTGCAGACTGCCTGGCAGCTACATCAGGGGCAAATTTATTGGCCACCTCAATTTCAGCCACCCACAATGAACAGGTTAATGCAATACTACAATTGCTTGCCAGCTCCACCCACAGCTTTGAGTGTGAGTTTCTCAAAAAAAGGGTAATCAAACAGAGTAATCTTTTCATGTCAAAAGTATGTCAAAAGCATACTTTGGATAAGGCACTAAGTTAACTCTTAAAAATCTGTGTAGATCAGAGGTGGTATTCAGCAGCTCTGACCAGTTCTAGAGAACCAGTAGTGGAAATTTTGAGTAGTTCAGAGAACCGGCGAATACCACCTCTGACTGGAGATTTTACAGTATCCTTCCCCTGCCATGCCCACCAAGCCACAGCCACAGAACCGGTAGTAAAAAAAAAAATGACTCCCACCACTGGTGTAGATGATATCACAGTGAATAAACTGATATATGTTGGATAGAAATAGTAATTGTACAAAGAGGAATGAAACAAATTATTACCCAAGTCAGGTGTAAATCAACCAGCTATAACTGACTTAATATTTATTTACACAGCTAAACAGCACTTCAGTCTTGAAGAGTACAGCTTTTCTTTGAACACTTTGGAACAGGTAATGGCTTAGATATTCAAATAATATAGTGGTGCTTATAGTGAGAAATTATTCTCTTACATACCAGAATAAAAAAAAAAGCTGGTGTATAAGATACTTTGACTATTTGGGAGCAGGAGGTGACTGGAACAATTATAAGACTTATTTTAAATGTTTAAAATGCCAGTGGGGAAAGTAGCTATCCAAAAAACATTTTAAACAAGCAACCTTCTCTAGGCTAAGGGAGGATCTTAAGCGCTATGCTATCTTTGTAACCCTGATAAAGGGAGTTATAGAAACATCAGATGCATGATGGAAAAAAACAAAACATTTTAATGCTATCACCTTGCATAGAGAAATTTACATTTGTGTTTCCACCTCAAGCAAAGCACAGACATAAACTGCTATAATCCATTGTACAATTATTTTATATTCTCAGATGTACCTAGACAGAAGTCAGAATCAATGTTAGCTGTTTATAAATCTAATGTACTGTATGTGCAATTCCTTTGTAGCTATTGATTTATTGTATTGTTCAGGTATTCCTGGAACTGTGCAAAGAACATGAGCGAGATTATTTTGAATCGGGTCCAACTTCTGAATGGAGAGAACTGTAGCATCAACAAGATAGTTGAAAGACTGATCAACAACCAAGGCAAACACCAGTTTCTTCCACCAGGAAAAATAGAGGGCAACTAGGTTGAGCACTCTGAGGAATGTTGTGCCTGGACATCCCCTGGGAAAAGATATTCTGTAATCTTCTCTATGTTTAACAAGTATGCCTAGTTGTCTGTTAGAAAGATTAACCCTCATATTTATCGTATCTAGAAATATAACATTTTTGAATATTTCACAACTAATAGGAAAACAAATGCTTCTGCACTATTTTGCTTTCATGAGAAAAATGAAATGGAAATATATATTTTTAATATATGTATTGTTTATAGCCTAGCACACAAACACGTATAGATGGTATTTTTTATCAGAATATGTTAATATTTTTAATTTAAATAACAAGTCAATGTATATCTAGTGTGTATTGGGTGGATAATAAACACCCATACTCTAAATACTTATGTATTGTTACCATCCTCATTTACCATATTAATAAATAGTAATACAGCTGACCCAAGTAACTATTGTACCGGGAGCCATTAAATATCATCACAAATTGTTTGTCAATCTGTTTCTTGTAAAATGACTAGAACAAGAAATGAGTCTTTTAAATAGGAGAAATCCTCATGTGCCATTGTTAAACCATTAATTTGACAGAAAAACATACTGTTCTAGCTAAGGGGCAATTTTATGTAGCCTTTGTAGATCTAAAACCAGCCTTTGATTCCATTCTCTGTGGAAGAAATCTGAAAAGAACTCAATAGATTGTTAGTGATTCCAGCTGATTAAACAGCTGAAAGTAGATGCTCCTCTTCAGATTAGAAGTAACAATTTTCTTCCCCATCCTATGGCAGGAAGGGATTAAGTAAGGCTGCATATTAACATGGACTTTGTCTAATTTTTATATTTTATATTAGAAATTATCAGAAAAGAGCACCACTGACTTAATTTGGTGGGTCAGTGAAAAGCAGTTTTGTCACATATGGATATATTTATTAGCACCAATTGGGTTGAGTATATTATGGACTTTAGCTCTTTGTAAGGGGAACAGTCTGTTGATAAATTACCAGAAGACAAAGGTCCTGCTTTCAAACTACTCCACATACCCAAAATTGGTAACTAAATAGGGATAATATTCCTGTAAAAAATGAGTGCATTTATAAAAACACAGGATTCAAGAAACTAAATAA